TCCCTAAATCTCTGATTTAAGAAAACTGACAGGAAGAGCAAACTGAGTCCAAGACCAGAACCAATGCAGCAACCTTCCTTTTCACCCATTCAGTGAATGACCATGAAAGTGAAATGCCTTCTTTTCCACAAAAGCAGAGTGAAGCTGTGGTGACAGAAGTAAATCTTACTTATAAAAACACTATGCTTCAAGCTCATTAAGGATTAAACAGGCTTATCATCTGGTCTAGCAGTTACACTTCCCTTTATGATACTATGTGCATGAAAAAGTGCTTCCACACTAGTGCTCTCTGGGCAAATCAGCCCATATTAGGTTTACACTTTCTTCCAAAAAGCACTTTATCCTGAAGCACAGTATTCATCTGTGCCCCAGACAGGTATTTTTTCCCCATGTATAACTATATGAGGAAAGACACCTATTTGTTGACTGAAATTCAGCCAAATGTAATCATTCAGCATGGCTTGGACAGATATTAAACTCAAATTACAGGCTCAGTAAATACACATATATTGTTTTTACTTTTAGTTGGGCTAGTAGACAACAGAAACCAACTTGATAACTAGAGTATACCTACTCCTAATTAGACTAAAGTAGGGAGTTAAACCCAGTGGGAGTTACTCACATGGTTTATGTATGGAATACACAGAGTGTGAGGAAGAAGGAGACTTTAGATGACTGCAAACATCAGAATATAGGTGGGGTGAGTGCTAGCACCAAGAGAGATCTGCTTGAGGAGTAAGTACTGTGGCTGTGATGAGAACCTTGCTTACTGGCTCCAAGCCCACTCCCATCTTCGCAATCCCACCCATCTTCCTCCATTTACATATACGAGCGAAAAACTGCAGAGAGCAAAATATAAGAGTGATAACATCAAGAGAGGAGAATGAAGGAGAAAAAAATCAGATCCTTTAAAAATGTATATAACATTGTAGAAATTTCAAAGCAGTTAGCATGTCTCAGAAAATATTCAGACCCAGCCTGGAAATCTAGCTCCACCATAAAGGGGAACTTTCATAAGTTACCTAACTTCTGCAAGCCTCAGTTCCCTCATATTTAAGATAAGGATAATAATACTACCCTAACTTACGAAAGATTCTTTTAAGTGTTACATATGCCTGGCACATGAAATGCCCCCAAATAACATTTGATAAATAAATGACATCAAATATTAGCTATTTAGAAAATCTGTTAAACTTTTTTTTTTTTTTTTTTTTTTTTACAAACAGCAATGTCTCAGTTGAACACTGGGCGAGGCATTCCTTAATTTGGTAGGCATTGGGGAGTGCTGCAGATCAGCAGGGGATGTGAAACAATTAGTTACATTTTGGGAAGCTTATATTATAATGGCAGTGGCGACTAATAAGAACTAAAACTGAAAAACAAAAACTTGAAAAGCAGTTACCGGAACCAAATTTTCTATAAAGTAATGGATCATGGTAATAAAAAAATAATTTTTTCACCCCTAGAATTACATTTCACTTCATTTTTTTTTTTTTTTTTTTT